TAAAAAAACACCTCTTCCCCCTCCCATCATCCTCAACTGATAGTGAAATAGTTAATCTGGGGCCCCCTATCCCTCCTCACAATCTACCTCATCACCACAAACCAACACGCCCTCCGCCACATCACCCAGGTGGTGGTCTGCATAGGCCATTTGTACGGCGTTGCCCTCTACTATGGGACGTGTCACTACATCGAAAAGTACCGAGGCCTGCAGTACAGCAGGCCGGAGTGGGTTTACTACTGGGGGTACTATGCCGGCATGAACGCGCCTTGGGCGGTCGTGCCTGTTTTGTTGCTGTGGGGGAGCGTAAAGGAGATCAAGCGGGCTTTCAGAGCTGTTCAGGAAGAAGATATTGCCAAGAAGGGCCTGTAAAACGTATGGGAGCCAATCGTGATATCTATTTAATCCATCGCCTGGGCCAAAACTTGCAAAATCAAACCCCAACAACAGTCCCGTCTAATCAATTGCGCTTGCCAACCTGACCAATCATCCTCTACCTCTTAACCACCGTGCTGTATGACCCGGGTATATCTCTTTTTCCTCTCCCCCCCTAACGAACATACTTACTCATAAACCTCTTATGAAAATCCGACCTCAACAAATCATTAATAAACTCCTTCTTCTTCCCCTTCTCCTCCGTGCCCCTCGCCTGGTTCTTGAACACCACATCGTCATCCCACCGCCTCTTGATATTGAAATCCGCCCTCCCGCTGTTGTTGTTATTGAGAAGCGGGTTCCCCAGCGCAATATCCTTCTCCCTCTCCGCCTCCTCCGCAGCCAACCTCTCCTTCTCTTCCCGTTCCCGTTTCTCGGCCCTCTCCCTCCTCACTCTCTCTAATTCCCTCTGCAACTCGGCTTCCTCATCATCAGAATCAGAGTCTGAATCACTGTCGTCGTCGTCATCTTCCTCGTCGTCTTCTTCGCTTGATGCGTCGCTGTCGTCGGCGTCTATGGCGCGGGTTTCTTCTAGTATGCGGCGGCGTTTGGATTCGGGGTCTTCTTGTTCTATCGATAGTGGTCGCTTGGATGAGGAGGAATTGCTGGGGAGGGCTTGTTGTTCTGACTGACTGCCAGTCGACTGGCCGGGGATGGGAGCGCCCTTGAGCTTGGCGTAGTGAGCCGCCTCTGCGGCTTCGAGTTCGGCGCGGAGGTCGCGGGACTGGTGATCGGCGTCGCCTCCTTGGCCGGGTTGGCGGAATTTGAGCTGGGTGTAGGCTGGAAGGAGGCGTTGGTGGTAGGCGGGGCCGCGGAGGGCTTCTTTACCGCGGGCCTTGGAAAAATAGTTAGCAGGGTGCTTGGTGAGGGTGACTGAGAAAATGTACCGGGTCAAAGGTAGGGCGATGGGCTGTTGTCATTTTGGCGACTGGTTGGAGAATGTGATGGGGGTGATGCGACAACTGATGGACGAGTAATGGGGAGAGCTGGAGGATTGATTGATCGAAGATGGAGAGCCGTGAAAGCTGATAATGATGACGGGCAGGCAAGTTGCACCCCAGGAACGCGCCTTGACCGCCCGGCTTGGCACTGCCTGGCAGAATCCACCAAAAATTGGCGGAGATGGCTGGCAGAAAGCTGCCCCTCGACTTGCGACACAACATCCCCAATTCACAACCTTGATGACCTCGAATTAATTTCTGAAATACACATTTCCATAAAAGGCCAAAATGCCCAGAGAAGCAGAACCATCCCTCAACGAGAAGCAGTTCGTCCTGCAAGCCCTCCACGACAGCGTCCGCCTCGACGGCCGAGAGCTCGAACAATACCGACCCTTGGAGCTCACCTTTGGCGACCAATATGGCGTCGCAGACGTCACACTAGGCAAGACGAGGTATTCCCCCTCCCTACCTAACACAAGCACCACTCCCCCTATGCTAACCCCTGTGCCAGAGTCCTCGCCAAAGCCTCAGCCGAACTAACAGTCCCCTACGCCGACCGCCCCCTCGACGGCATCTTCAACATCGCAACCGAGCTCTCCCCCATGACCTCCCCCGCCTTCGAAGTCAACCGCCCGACCGAGACAGAAGTCCTCATCTCCCGCCTCCTCGAAAAGACGGTCCGCCGCTCCGGCGCCCTCGACACCGAGTCCCTCTGCCTCGTCGCCGGCCAAAAGTGCTGGTCCATCCGCGTCGACGTCCACGTCCTCTCCCACGACGGCAACCTCATCGACGCCGCCTGCTTCGCCGTCGTCGCCGCCCTCCGCCACTTCCGCAAGCCGGACACCAGCATGGAGGGCGGCGTCTTGACCGTCTACACCCCCGCCGAGAGGGAGCCGGTGCCCCTCAGCTGGCTGCACTCGCCGTTTTGCGTCACGTGGAGCTTCTTTGGGGAGGAGGGGGATGTCGCCGTTTTGGATGCGACGTGGATGGAGGAGCAGGTCAGGTCGGGGAGCTGCACCATCAGTCTGAACAAGCATGGCGAGATTTGCCAGATTGCAAAGCTGGGAGGGGTGCCGGTTGAGGCGGTCAGTTTGCTGCAATGCACAAACGTTGCGTTGGTAAAGGCAAAGGACATGTCGTCAAAACTGGACAGGTGGTTGGCCGAGGATGCGAGGAGGAGGGATAAGGGTGGGTTATTGGCCGAGTTATCGGCCGAGAATGATAGAGTACCGGATATGTGAGTGGGAGAGGGAAAAAGGGAAAATGGATAGATGTGTTAGATACCTTGTGAAATCAGAGATACCCACGGTCTTGCAGCCGATCATGATCACACAGATGCCGAGGCTGGGCTTAGCCAGGAAGAGAGTTTCGAGCAACACGCTCTGATATGATGTTCTTGATTGGCTTCTGCTGAGCCTTTGCTCCATTAATCATTAAGAAGGTTGTTGCTTTCGGCTTCTGTGGTTATCCAGAACCACGACCAAACCCCATGGCCTTTGGCCGAGAGCCCCATGTTTGCTTGCGAACATGGGAATCTTTCTGACCACTGCGCCATCGTGACCTTCATGTGTGACCTTGTCTGCCCCAGCGGTCATCTCCTTCAAACACAAGGCTAGCTGACATCCAATGCGAAATTCGCGCTCCCCTTTGTGACGTGGGAGGTATCGTTGCCGAGCTTTGGCTCCCCCAGTAGTCATCGTCGCGGCGGGTGTTGACCGGGCTCGGTTTGTTCCCGTCCAGCTCTTGACCGGGACTCCCATCTGCCGTTCCAGTTGTTCTTATCTTTCCTCATCATTCCATCCCCTCCATCCCTACCCCCCTCCTTCCTCACCTCATAACAGGCGGCCTCCCCTCCCTATTCCACCTAACCCTACTCCTAACCCAATCCACCGCCTCCTTCACCCCAGTCCCCGTCAGCGCGCTCACCGGCAAAACCCTACTATCCCTGATACTCCCGCTCTTCTCCCCCTCAAAAACCTTCTTGACCAACCCCTCCTTAATCCTCACCACCTCGACACAGTCCTCCCGATCTTGCTTATTCGCCAACACCAGCAACGGCACCCCCTCCGTCTCGCTGTGATTCAGGACATCCTCCAGCACAAGCCTGCACTCTTCTAATCTGCCGGTAGAGTCATGCTCCAGATTCCCATCCCCGATATCAGTCGAATCGATGATAAAAATAATCGCGTGGCAGGAGGCGTAGTAGGACTGCCAGAGCTTGCGCAAAGAGTGCTGGCCGCCGACGTCCCAGATCTTGAGGTACATGTCTGGGAGAATAATGGTGGAGACGTTTTGGCCGACGGTGGGGACGGTTTTGAGGTTGGGGGCCGGGGCGGAGGCGGCGCCGTCGGGGTGGAAGATGGATTTTACTTGCTCGTGAAAGGTGGTCTTGCCTGCGTTGTCGAGGCCGAGGAGGAGGAGGGAGTATTCTTTGGGTAAGGGTTAGCTAACAAGGTGATGCGAGGTGGGAATCTGGAGTGGACGAACCCTCCTTTGAGGTTGCGAGGCGGTAGAGGCCTTTAGCTAGGTGGTACATTTTGCCTCTTTCGTTTCCTGTGTTTTTGACGTCGACTCTTGTTTTACTTTTGTCAGTTATGTCGTGTCGCGTATGCTGCACGCAAGGGTCTGGGGTTCGTGGCTGTCAACAGTTCATGTGGAGGGGTTGACACAAGTCTGGGGAAAAGTTGGAGAACGCCCCCAAGGGTCAGGGTTGTACGGGAAAGCATCTCTTAGCGTTTCCCTTCAACGGTCTTGGCATTAGATCCTCCTTACCTAACCCTTACCTAACCCTTAATATCGCTTCCCCAACCCCACTTTTCCCCGTCCCAATCGATATCACTTACATCACCACACACTCCTCCCCCAAATCTCACCCTCACCTTCACTTTCGTCAACCTAACTATCCCTCCAAACCCCCCAAACTAGAAAATGAACCACCGCATCACCACAACAGCCCTCCGACTGAGACCATCCCCATTCTTCCTGACAAGACCTAGACTCCTCGGCACAACAACCCCCAAAATGTCCAACAACCTCCCCACCCCCTCCTCCTGCTACGCAGACTTCTGCCTCATCCCCATCGGCACCCCCACGCCCTCGGTCGCAAAAGAAGTCGCCTCGGTCCAGTCCCTGATCAGGGACTCGGGCATAAAACACACAATGCACTCCGCCGGCACCACCCTCGAGGGCTCCTGGGACGACGTCTTTAGAGTCATCGGCCAGGCCCACTCCCTTGTCCACCAGAGCGGCATCGTGCGCGTCCAGACTAGTTTGAGGGTTGGGACGAGGTACGTCTGATTACTCACAGTTCACAAAAGTGAAGGTGGTGCTAATGCGAGAATAGAACGGATAAGAAGCAGACTGCAGAGGAAAAGGTCAAACGAGTGGAGGATATTCTCGCTGCTGGGAAGGAGTAACGGACCACAAGTGTGGGATGTGATGGTGAAGAGAATTGTATTGTTGTTGTAATGAAGAAACGACCTCAAACACTAGCAAGCCAACGATTATGGAGTAAAGTGGCTCTCTTGTATGCATTAAATGTCGACCATCATGATAAACCTCCTCTAATCTTCCCAAACAACAAAAAGGGGTTATGTGTCTCTAAGCCATGCATGCTAATGATCTGTATGATAATCTAAAGAATAACAGCAGTAAATCCCAACCCAAACGCCATCATCCATCATCCTCCCCAAATGCCCCCCTAAACCCCCGCAGCAGTAAAACTCAACAAACTCCCCACCGTCAACCCAGCAACCAAACACATGCCCATAAACCCCCCCGCCGCCTCCCTCTCCCACTCACCCACCCACTCCCCCGCCGCCATCATCGCACTACTCCCCAACCACCCACTCGTCAACCCAAAAGGAAACTGCACCGCCACCAAATAAAACAAATCACTCTTCACCACTGCTCCCCGTCCCCCAATATTACATAAGAAATACAGCGGCAAAAACAGCCACCTCCCCATCGCAATCGCAAACAGTGCCTTTGGCCTGTGACGGAGCGAAAAGGGAAACATGGTCGCCACCCTCCCCGTCAAATCACCCAAGTTCCAGAAAAAAAACCCCAGGGGGATAAACGCCCCGGGAGCGTAGAGCTTCCCGTCCGAATCAGCGTTGTGGACAGACAGGATCTTTGCCGTAAACACGGGGAAAAACATGGCCACGGCAAAACACATAGACACGCTGACAGACACCCAGCGCAGTTTCCTAAACAGCGTTGACATGCTGACGTAGCGTCTGTTTGCCCTTTCGGCTTCCTCGATGGAAGTGACAGACTGGGAGAGGTCCTGCTGTTCTGCCAGCCGGCGCTCAACAATGCGGTTGTGTCTGTTTACCAGAGGCAGGAACGCCAAGAGGGTGATGCCAGAGATGATCACCGCGGTGAGGAAGTAGATGAACGCCGCGGTGCTGCTTTCTTGGGGGCCGTCGTCCTCGGCTGTTCTCCTTGCTGGGTCGAGAGCGGGCTCGGCAGGGGAGAAGGCCAGGTAGGATAGCATCTGGGTCAATGGGGGCAGGATACCAGCTACACCCTGCCCAGCCATGATTGCCTGTGTGTACTCTGTCCTGCCGAAACTAGCGGCAAAGGCAAAGGCGCCGTTCTGCATGAGCCCGGACGCCAAGGCGGTAATGCCTACCATCATGAGGAGAAAAGCAAAGTATGCGCCGGTCGAGGCATCGAGGAAGTGGCTTGTCGAGATGGTGAGGAGAGTAAAGACTGCCACGTTGAGGAACAAGGCTGTGTTGATTCGAAATGGATAGCTCGCCGACGACTGCATGTTGGTCAAGACCAACATGGTGACCAGATTCGTAGTCGTTGAAACGGCAAGGATGGCCGACTGGGAGGTATCCTGAATCCATGGGTCGGATACGAATCGGCTTTGAAAGTACGGCGCCGCAGCAAGAAACATGTTCCTGCATCGCACAGCATCAGATCACGAACGTCATTGTCTCAACGGTCAACAGGGGAAGCATACCACGCCCACAGCATCGCCACGCCAATAAAGGCAAATATGGAGTACTCGATCCACGAAAACGGCGACTGCTCCTCATACACCTCCCCCTCCAGCGTTCCCGAGCGGGAGTCATCATCGTCGGAATCCGTCAACGGCGAGTACTCGTCTGGGTCGGCCTTTACAGGCGCAAACACATTCTTGAGGCGATCCATGTTCCGTGTGTGTCTTGGGTTCTGTCGTCGTACCGTACCACTTCCGACTGAATCGCCGAGTCTCAGACACCTTCAAGTCAAGGAGGGTTAATAGGAAAATAAGTCGTCCTCTCGGGGAGTTTTATCGCAAATCGCCCTGGTGGTTCTGCCCTGCCTTGACCCCTCTGTGAACCCCCCCCCCACAGATACCAAGTTCCCGGAAACAAGTTGCGACTGGGCTGAAAAGGTCACCCCACTGTCGTACTGCCCGACGAGGTTGGTTTAGTCCAGAATAGGGAGGTTGATGGAAGTCTTCTCTCGCAGGGTTGGGGGTTGGCGCGCGCGCGCGCAACAAAGGCCGTTGAGTGTTCAACGGTAGATACAACCCTTAGTGTCTGCTCGTCATGGCTTTACCTAACTCTTTCCCCGCACACGAAAACAAAAAAAATCAAGAAAACAATAGGAACTAGATGTAGATCGTCATGCGCGCGCGACACAGAACGAAGGGCGTGGGCAGGCAGAATGGTAGAATGGTGGGATGAATGTCGGAGGGTGATGATGACGGTGAGTGGTCAGGGTCACACGTCAGATGCGCAGGTGTCGTCGATACACCCACAAGATAAGGCTAATGGCGCAAGGGTCGTCTTGGCGTGGAGAGCCAGCTGCCGATAAGATATGAAACCGAACCGTTGGCCAATCACCGACCGCCGTAGAACATGCCAAGACTCTCCCCCAGATGTTGGAAGCACACGCCAGTGGAGGTTCGAAATGTGGGAGGTGGGAATCGCGGAATCTCTATATTTACTGTGTAATGATTATATTTCTACCGTATAACATCTAGCTAGCTAGATAGAGCAGTAATAAGCATATCTTACCACAATACTAGCTACAAGTAATTTTTATAGTAAATTGCATTATAAAAAAATACTTAAAATAAAAAATTCATTTTTTTAAAAAGCACAAAGTACACTAATAAAGATATTTCAAGATTAATCGATAGTTTTTTAAGTAATAAAATAATAATTTTAAGAATTAATTTTAACTACTTGTTACGGCGATAACTCTAAACTTAGTAATAGTTACTATATATAATATTTACTACGCATAATAACTACTACGCGCAATACTTACTATATAACTTATATTCTAAGTCTTAAATTTTAATTATTGGAAACGATAGCCCTTAAAAATATAGCTCCATTACCTTCGCTGCATTATATATATATATATATATATATTAATAGATGTAAGTTCTAGCCAATTTTGGTATAACTGATATAGAAGTGCACTACTTTATTATGTTAGATATATACTCCACACGGTAAATTTATAATTATTACACGGTAAATATATAATTATTACACGGTAAATATAGAGGTCCCAGGGAATCGTGGGATTAGTTTACCTGCCGCCCGTCCCGCTGGAAGGGAAATAGATCTTGTGAGGGCAGGGTAGATATAAACTACCTGTTGTCTTATCATCGAGGATCGGCTGACATTTTCCTGCCTCGTGGTGTTGCTTGCTAGGAACATCCCTTCCACGTTATCTGCTCAGGTGCCCGGCTGTTTGGATGGTGCTAAAATAGAGCGAAGAATGACTGGCTCCAGCTCCTCAACCCCAAGCCATTCTATTTTTGGTATCTCGAATGTTGACGATACATGTCTTTATAACGACAAACACGTCCACAAAAGGCACCAAACCCTCATCTCATGTTTGATCTCTCCCCAAGGCCACCCCGACTTCACATATTAAGCCAGATATCTATCTCTCTTATCTACCAACAGTCATCTCACCATTTCAACCTTACCAAATCCAGCCATGAAGGCGACCCCGTCTGCGGCCGCCCACGTGACAATCACCACCTGCGATGCAACTATGTCGTGCATCGTTTTTATATCTGACTCTCGGTCTCTTGATGCCTCTTTTTTGGGGGGTTGGCTGGCATCAGATGCACTCTGGCTATCACTGTGGCTTGACATCTCACCCCTCTTGCTTTTGTCAAACCTGACTACAAGGTAACAATATCAACATCTGGTCCTACCTTTACTCTAATTTCTCGTGTTCAACCTACTACAAAGTAACATGCTCGGAACTTTCTGTGTTTACTCAGTATGCGTCCTCCGAAGTAGGACGTCCACCCGTCAACCTCGCATCTGTAGATTACTTCCGCAGTATTTGTACCTAGGGTGACAGAGTCAACTACAAGCTTACCTTGTCGTATCACATTCAGGCGGAGACCGTCTCGTCTTCAGAGATCCCCAAGTTGGTCGAAAAGTCGCTACCCCAAACCAAGCCCTCCACAGCAACGCCCAAGCCAAATGTAAACAACCACCACCTTCCCAGTCCAACCACATCACAAGAACAAAACAACCACAGGCCATCCTCTCCACCACCCCACCCAACTGAACCAAAAGAAAAGTCGAAAACACAAGCCCCCTCGACAAAAAGAGAAAAAAAAAAAGAAAAAGAGCAAAAGCTCACCGGCCAACCTTTGTAGGGTGGCCAGCTACGAAAACCCCTCGAGGGGCTTTACTCCGGAATCGAACTCGGGGGCTATCGGTTGCAAGCCCCCCGGCCAGGGGGGGTTTAACAGCAACTCCTACACCTTGACCATTTGTCCTGACCACAAGTGGCGCCCTGGTCAAGCTGTTCAAGCTGCTTGTTGGAAGGAGAGAAAAGGGAACTAATATATATACCGTGGTTGGCTTGCTCCTTCCTCTTTCTCTGTTGAGGATCGAAAAGACCTGCCCACATTCGACTCTCACACTTGAGACCAAGCAAAGGTAACTCACACACAGACAATAAAAAGTAAACAAGCACGAGTAAAGAATAAAAGTCTCATAAAAATATCTACACCGCGAATCGAATACTACCCCAACCCATCCTTTTTCCCAAAAAAACCCAAAAAAAATAAAAAAATAATCCAACATCATTACAATCATGAACCCATTCCCTTTTCCTCTTCCTTCTACTCTGCCCCCTCATCAACAGGGAACCTCCCCAAGTATCTAAACACCCTCAACCCCTCCTCGACCCCCTTCACAACCTGCTCAACCCCCTCCCCAACAACAACACCCTCATCCTGCCCCCTACTCACCCCAACCGTCTGCTCCAACGCCTGTCCCGAATTCTCCCCCACAGCAGCGACCGGCTTCCCCCAACGATAACTATCCACCAAGATCTGCCCCGGCCGTCCGGCAGGGAACAACGGAGAGTTCTTTCCTCCAGTCAACAACCCCTCCGCCCCATCCGTCACAACCACCGCGTCGTACCCAGTGGCATCAGCAGCAGAGTAAGTCTGATCCACCCCCTCCTTGAGAACCTCGCCAACAACAGTGACCACAACCCCCTCCTTGCTGAGCTGCTCCTTCAACTCCCGCGCCTGAGCAAGCGATCCATCATTGAAAGACGAGGCAAGGACGCCAACCCTCAAAGTCGCAATCGTGGGGAGGGTTCCGTTAAAGATGGAAAGCCCAGCCGTGACATTGTTATGGTAGAATGCCGGGTCCGGAGCCGGCGCCTCAAGTCCAAGAGCCACCGCAACCCGCTTCGCCACATCGTTTGACACACGGTTGATCTGCTCCAACACGTTCTTCTTCACCTGCTCGTTCTTGAGATGAGATGCCTCAAACCGGATAGCGTTGATCAAAAACTGCTGCTCAACCCTCGTCAACGAGTTGTAAAACAACCTCGGCTGCGACCAATGATCATCAAACGTCGGCGACAGCGCCCTGACCAGCTTCCCATCCACGATCCTGTTCGGCGCCGTAAAGAACCCTTTCCCGTGCGTCTGGTTGGCTTGGAGGGGGTACCCCCCGTTGAGAGTGTTAGGGGTATAAGGGTAAACATTTTTATGAATAAGCATCTGTCCCGCCCCGTCCCGGTTGTTGTTGTGAACAGGCGAGACGGGTCTGTTGATGGGGATCTGCTCAAAGTTGGGCCCGCCCTGGTTCCGGTTGAGCTGCGTGTCAAGGTACGAAAACAAACGGCCTTGGAGAAGCGGGTCCTCGGTAAAGTCGACACCACGGACAATGTGACCAGGCTGGTACATGACCTGCTCCGTCTCGGCAAAGTAATTGGTCGGGTTCCGGTCCAGCTTCATGATACCGAGGGGAACCAACGGGGCGAGCTCCTCGGGGATGATCTTGGTGGGGTCGAGGAGGTCAAACCCAAAGGCGAGGGCCTTTTCTTCGTCGACGATCTGGACGGACAGCTCCCACTCTGGACCGTTGCCTGACTCGATCGCGTCCCAGAGATCCTGACGGTGGAAGTCGGCGTTCTTGCCAGCGAGAACCTGGGCCTCTTCCCAGACCAGAGAAGCCTTGCCTTGCTTGGTCTTGAAGTGCCACTTGATGAGCTTGGAGTTGCCGTCGTCCGTGACGAAGCGGAAGGTGTGCACGCCGAAGCCGTCCATGTGACGATAACTGCGAGGGATGCCGTTGCCGGACATGGCCCAGAAGAGAGTGTGCATAGTGCTGGGCTGCTGGCTGAAGAAGTCCCACGCCGAATCGTGAGCGGTGGCCGCCTGGGGGACCTCATTGTCCGGGCTGGGCTTGACAGAGTGGATCAAGTCGGGGAAGCGGATGGCGTCTTGGATAAAAAAGACGGGGATGTTGTTGCCGACAATGTCAAAGTTTCCTTCGTCAGTGTAGAAGCGGGTAGCGAACCCGTGGACATCGCGAGCGGTATCAGCACTGCCGCGGGAACCAGCAACGGTCGAGAACCGGACGAAGACGGGAGTCTTCTTTCCAGCTCCACCGAGGAAGGAAGCAGCCGTGATGTTGCTCCAGTCGGCATAGCTGGTGAAGGTACCGTGAGCACCGGCACCACGAGCGTGAACAGCCCTTTCGGGAATCTGATTTCAATGTCAGCACATTACATGCTCCCCAACCTAGACACATGACCAAAGTCAAACAAACTCACCCGTTCATGATCAAAATGCTGAATCTTTTGCCTAAAGATCCAGTCCTCCATCAAGGTAGACCCCCTGTACCCAGCCTTGAGGCTGTTCTGGTCCTCCATCGGCCCACCAACGTCGGACGACATGTAAGCATTGCTGTCGTCAACCTCGTACTCCTCGAGGATATTCTCCGTCTGCTGGCTCGCGCCCTCGTCCCTCTTGGCGAGGTGGTAGTTGGGATCAGCAAAAGGGCATGCCGCTTTTGTCACCGCCGACATGGACCCCACGAGGGTGGCCCACGTTAGCAGCCTTTTCATACTGCTGCCGCTGCCGTGCATCGTATGTATGTAGTGTCCTATATGTATGTCTCGGACTTGTCTGAGAGAGAAACAACAGAAAGAAAAAAAAGGGGGGTAAGGGGGGGGGGAGTGTGATACGACAGAATAAAGTTGCCCCCGGCGTCGGCTGATTCTGTGTGTGTCTTGACTGAGAAGGGATGGTTCTCCCAAAAACCAAAGAAGCTCATGATGGTGACGGGGGAGGCGTTACTTATATGTCGACGGACTGGCCGTTGAGGTCCTGGTCCTGCCTGCCCCACGCCCCCCGGCAAAGGGCACTGTGTGCTGATCAACATGTTTTTTTTTGCCTCCACCACCCAACAATATTACCTACCCCAAATCCTCCGTGTCCCCCTTCCGCAAGACTGCAACCATGAGTGACAGGGACGAGGAAGAGGTGTGTGTGTGTGTGTGTGTGTGTGAAGCTATGGCCTTTCCCGGAGAGGGAGGTTCGGCGAGTCGAACGGGCAGCTAGCCACCACCCACCCCCCATCCATGACCCATGGTTGCCGGGTAGAGAGCCACATGATCACAAGATCCGTGGGCCCATCAATGGTCCGGTCCCTTCGAATCCAAGGTTGCAAGCTCGATCACAAAATACCAACGTCCATTTTGTGACCGGGGAACCGATATTCTTGTGTAAGTGCCAGGTCCTCGTCACCTCTATCGGCCCGGGGACCCCCAGACAGCGGGGACTAGTCCAGAGGCCGAAATAGAAAAAGAATGACACCACCCCTTTCATTGGATCCTCGAAAAAAAGCAAGACTTTTCCGCCCGCGCGGGAACCACAGACAATGTGTGTGTCACCCGTGCGTGCGCGCGCACAACAACAAAGAAGTGCAAGTACCCTCTCAGAAAAAAGGCGGGAAGCACATACCGGGGTGGACAACAGAGAGTTGTTGTTGTTCAGCAACACACACGGCCCCAATCGTCCGGACTTGGACTCCGTCCTTAGCCGGGGTGTAGTGTATCTCGCCGAGAAAAGCTCAGGCTTGTACCCTCACTGTGTGGATGTGGCGCGTTGCGGGCTTATCTGATTTCCACAAGGCTGGTTGTTGTTGGAGGTACATACAACCAAAGTTCACACACACCGAAGGAGCCGCATCAAGGGTCCACACCAGATCATCACACAGCACCTACCTACCTACCTACGCTGCCTTGCAGAACCATTCTCAGCATGATGTGAGACCAACAACAACATCAAGTAAGAAAAAGGTAGATATAAAACAACGAGATGAGCAAGCAGGACCTGCTACGGAGACGGAAGAAAAAAAGACGGTAAACCAACTGGGACCCGTATCAAGAGACTCGGGCTCCTCAACATACGTCAGCATCGACTTGCCCCCCTGCCCCCCCAGCCGGCACTCGAAAAGCTTTTGGGTGCTAGCCCCCGTAGAATGATCGGGGCAAAAAATAGACTAAGCAGCCCGGGGACCTGCTTCTTGGCTGAGCGGCTCTCGTCCGATGTCGATAGCATGCGGTCAAGGCCATGCCAGCCGTTAAGATGGATGGATGTGCGGGGTAGGTATCGCACGCTCGCATGTCGAAACATGCGAACCCCTTGACAGCTTTTGGAATCAAAAACCAAGTCACCAGTCGTATTCGGAATCTATCACACACATGAAGGAATGACACTGAAGTCCCGTGCTGCTGGCATCCTGCGCGGTCTGTCTCGGTACATACACTGTGCCCCCCTCCCCCCCCCCCTCAATATGGCAGATAATATTCGTTGCAACAGAGAATCCGCGGTTGCATTGCATATCGAGCGGCCGAGAGTGGTCGTCACTTCGAAAAGCCGGAGAGGTGTGGAGCCCGATTCGCAAGCTCAAGAACAAGCAAGGAAGCGGAACCCGCGATGATGATCCCTGAAAGCGGTTGCTTTGTCTGCCGTTCGGTTTCCGAGCATCGGGGATCCAGAATCTGCCCACAGCTGGGGAGAGCAACGCATGACGCAGTGGAATTTGATATGGAGCTTCATCATTCCAAGATTTTATCTTTTCTCATGGTTCGAGAGCAACAAAAAAAGGCGAGGCATCTACGGCAGATGCAGGTACATCGTGATGGGCGGTGATAGAACTTCAATGGCGTGCTCAACAAGGTAGGGATCACCCACACACGTGCCACAGTCTCAGTTAGACCCTAGCAAAGTGAGATCGACGACGACTTGGACGGCTGGATTTGCAAGCCACACAGGAGATCGTTGGGTCGGCTGCAGATGATTCCAAACTGAGGGTATCATCATCACGGGATGCAAAGAATGCTCACCCTGCTGACACATAGCAAAAATTAACGTAAGATTCCTAACCGGAAGAGTTCCTCCAACGGTTGATTGTCCTGGCGCTGTACACAACATGGAATATTCCGTGGTTAACCTCCCGAAAGTAGCACAATACTTCTCCGCATATGTCCAAGACCCGACCAGCTGGGGAAGCGTGGTTGGCCATTGATGGAAAATCATCAGCACGTTTTGCTGTGACTGCCAAGTCAAGTCCGCGCAAGAATTGTTTGTTCTACACATTGTCGTCACCTTGCGCGGAGTGAGGGAGGGGATTTTGCACTTCGGCCGATATCAGAACAGGGAGGTCGATGTAGCAGTTTTTCTTGTGCTTCCTTCCATGCGGCTTGGCAGATGTCGAGCATAATAATTCCGAAGGCTGGGCCCTCGAGAGGAGAGAGGTCGGAGGTATCGGACAGTAGCATGATGAGGGAAGGAAGGCCGATGTAGAGAGCAGGAAAAAGACACAGAAAAAGAGGTGAAGTTGAAAGAGATGATTCGACCCCTGTAGGCCAGGATGAGCCGGGCGGCTACCAACGTTGAGCTAAGCCTGATTCTGCCAAGTCGCCGGCTTGGCCACGGCAGAGCGCGAATCAATGCCGGTACAGAACCCTAACCCCGGTGTTAGTCAGCGGAAATAACCTCGGAGCAAGAACAACGTCACAGCAGTGAGCTGATGCCCAGAATTTGTGAGAGGAACATCCTCACTCAGCAACATCTCACCAACACCAGCCCTTGCCAATCTCTGTCCAACCCGAGCCTTCCGAATTCTTTCTCTCATGGCCATGGTTATTCCACCTCAACTTATATTTTTAACCTTGCAATCACAAATCACAAACAATGCGCCTTGCAGCATGCCACCTCTCGGCTCTTCCCTGTCATGCAAGTGACAAAAAACTGGGATGCCCACCCAGCCGGTGCCTCTCAACAACACCCTATCGACCGGCTGCTATCCGGGCCAATGGCAGCCGTCTTTTGGTTGATGACATCCCACAACTGCCGTATCTTCGCGCCAGAGGTAACTCTAGCTGAACCGTGATGGACATCGTCTGTGTTTGTAAAAAGTAACACCTTCCTACCCTGTCCTCTATGCCATGTCCAGTGTGTACGCTATGCTGTCTCGCTATATCTATATATATATATGTGTACAAAAAATGTGGGTATATCGTTTCTTGATGGTCTCAAACATGAATGTAAACGCAGCAATGCTTCCGATATCGCAACAACAAGCCCCTATTCTCCTCGCCACTGTCGCGTCCAGGTGTGTCCAATGTAGATTCCCAGTTGGGAAATGTGAGCCGGCGCCAAACATTGATGACTCCTTCAAGCTTGTCGTCGTCTACAAGGCCTCACCGACCTCTTTGACAGCCTCTCCTGCTCCTCCTCCTCCTCCTCCTCCTCACCCCTGCTCCCCCTTTCACTCTCCTCACTCTCACTCTCTTCCTTCTTGTCCTCACCACCATCACCCGCCCCAGCACCACTCAAATAACTCCCCCCCCCATCCATCAGCTGCCCCTCCCCAACCCACCCCGCCTCCACAGCAAACCTCACCACCTCCCCCGCCCCCCCAAAGCTCATCACCTCCCTCGGCTGCCCAGGATCAAGATGAACCCTCAACTCCCTCGTCTCCTCCTCCCACCCCCTCAGCACTTTTGCCTCCCCCCTAAAATTCTCCACCATCCACCCATAGATATAATCCAACCACAGCACATTAGTATAAGGATAATACCCCCCCCAATCAACCCTCCTCTTACTCCCCTTCCTCCTCTTCACCGCTCCCGCCGGCAACTCATAAGCCGTAGTATGATACTTGGGCCCCAAAATACCCCTATCCCCCCTCAGCAAAAAACTCCTCATCCCCCTATAAACCTCACACTGCGGCGCGTGCTCGCTCGTGAAAATGCTCAAGTCCTTTTCCAAATCCATAAACACTTTCCCCCCCGGACGGTCCGGATCCGAAGCCCGCGAGAGGCCGTAATCCAGTATCGTGACCTCTAAGCCAGAGTTGTTGAATCTATACCCTGACCCTGGCGACAGAGGGGGACGGGCCTGCCTGACACATAAATTCCCCTCGTGAAGATCCCTATGCTCAAACTCAATCAAATCTTCTGCTCTGGCAAGCGCAATCGCAGTGTGAAGAAAAATATCCCATAGCTGTTCTGAAGTCGTAATCTCAAAATCCTCCAGCGCCGTGCCCGCATCACCTAGCTCGACGACGAGGAATCTGGTTTCGTCGAGGTACCTGCTTGGGGAGGGGTACCACTGCAGCCGGTCGGGATCTTTTCTCTTCTCCCGACGATAAAAGGCTTGGTGGGTTTCGAGGAGTGATCTGGGGGCTTTGCCCTGGGCGATGTAGCGTTCTTTGTAGATTACAAACCCGGGGATGTCGGCTAGCCATTCGGATATCTGGAGCTCGCCGAGCATGTCCTCGTCGGTGTGGGGTTCTTCGTCTACCAGACCCGAGCGGGACTGGGCTTTGGTTTGGGGTTTGATGGGGGAGTCGAGGCGGATGACTTTGATGATGGAGGTGCCGAGGGTGTTGGTTATGCGGTAGACTTCTGCGTAGGAGGCCTCGGCGATTTTCTCGATGGTGTTGGAGGGGGGGCAGATTTCGGACCAGGTGAGGGTGCGGAGGGTTGATGAGGTGGAGGAGGTGTCGGAGTGGAAGGTTGAGTCTTCTTCTTCTGAGTAGGGTTGTGATGGTTTTTGTGGTAGACGGCCGGGGACTGGTTCGTCTTTTGGTACGGGGGTTGGTGCTATTCTTCGTCTTGGGGGAGGAGATTGTGGTTGCTTGGGTGTTGATGGCTGCTGTTCGGGGGGTGGTGGTGGTGGTGGTGATGACGGTGGGGTTGGTGTTGTTGAAGGGATCTCCTCCTTGTCTTGAATTACCACTTTCTCGTCGAGTGTCACCGATACCAGCTGTTTTGTGATCCGAGAGACCTCATGTGATTCGACTTCCACCTTGGCCTTTCTCGTCGTGGGCGGGCTTGTTGGTAATGCCTCAAACAACTGCTCAGCCCTCGTCTTCCTCTCGGATTTGCCATATTTTCGAAGTGTGGTGGTGCGTGACATTGTTCTTTTTTGATATTGGAACCGTTGTATAGATTCGTAAAGCACCTTGATGGTTCGTGGTTAAAAGTCGGGCTTCAGCCTTGTCATTCGTCAATGTGCTGTGGAGGGTTGCTAAGGGCAACGAGATGGGAGACCTTGCCCCACCAGATCTCCCACTTTGCTGATGCCTGTCTCACTCTGGGTGGGGGGCATGAGGGGCATCATGGAAGTGGTCGTCTTGCTCTGCCATATCTTGGACCTTTCAGACCTTAAA